TGCATGTTTCCAACCTATACAGTGCTGGGTTTTCTTTTGCCAATTGGGCTCACAATACTTGCTGATGTCATCAATCCATCATCGATCCTTCCACATACCATTTTTAAAAAACACTTTGAAGGTAAATAATGGAAAGATGAAACTTCAAGTTAATCTGTCTGGAACAAACAGTGAGAAATTCTTTTTGCTCAGTGTAACCTCATACCATTACATAGTTAAATCCAGGAGTTTTCATTTCACACTATGAACAAGACTAGGCATGTTGAACTAAAGGAAATCAGTATTTTTTTAAAAAGAAAACACCATCCTTTTTTTAGATTGGTTCAAGTTCAGGCATCATTGTGTAAACTTGAATGTTCAAGCACTTTTCATTAGAATGAAGATGATAAAATATTATATTTCACTTATCTGTCCCTATCTGAGTTGCATGGCAAATTTATTCATGATCCCTTAACCATAGTTGTTTACTCAGTTGCATTGGATTGTAAATAAATTACAAGACTGGGTTTACACAGTACCTAAGTCACTAAGTTCACTTAACCACTTTTTTAATGCATAAGTGTGAGCCTGGTTAACAGCTATCCAGTTACTTACTTATTAAGACAGGGATGTCAAACTCAAGGCCCATGGGCCAGATGCATCATGCGGTGGCCACACCCATGCCTGATTTAGGGAAGGGGAGAAAAGTCGCAATATGTCACATGACGATGCCACGATGATGCAAGTTTGACACCACTGTATTAAAACTATAACTGTTGTCTGTGTACACCTTTGATACTCCCCCCCCACTTCACAAGGGCAAACTACTCAAGTTCTAATTTAATAGATTCTGGAATAGCCACAGAGAATAGTCCTGTGCTGCTGATTATTACAAGTAAAAAAATACTGAATACGTCAGGCTTTCCTCAGATAGATCCCTGATGAAATATTAATTTTATTCAATTCAAGTGGTTCAGAATAGTCTTTGGAATTTGGTTCATTGCTAAGAAAAAAGGAAATGTTACCAAAAGGCACATACAGGTCAAAAGTACAGGAAAGCGGATATCTTTTTCTAGGATGCCTATTGCACCATGTTTCCCATCTTGTAGCAATATTTCCAGCTTGTTCTCAGCTTGAAGCTAAGCAAAAGTCACCCAAATATTTCCCTGTGCAACATACGCAGCAGAGAAAGTTCCTACCAGGAGCTGAAGCCAACTAGAAAACGTTTTAACCTTTCTACTACACCTATGCACATGGAAGTGAGTCTCTGCTCAATGAAACTTCCTACCATTTCAATAATTGTGGCCTCTGGATAGTCTGTGTAGTCCGTGCATTCTGGTGATGCTATTCAGTTTGCTGTGAGGCAGAGACAAACAAGAGAATGTAATAAAGATAAAAATAGCCAGTCTAATTTTAACTCAAGCACAAAGGTACTTTCTTTACAGGGGATAAATAACATAACTCAGCCCTTGCTATTTGGCAAACCTGGTCTTTCATTCAGCTAATGAACTTGAGGAAAGATCAGGAGCTGAAGGTTTGTTCCTTTAAAAAAATATATGATAGGGAGTAAACGGGAGATAACTTGAAAGGTTACCTACATTTTCCAAATCCATATGGTCCACAGAGTTTATCTGAAAAGTAATGCGAAATGGTGTAAACAAACACTTCGCCTGGTGTTACAATAGTAGAGAATGTATGTTGGGTTTTGGTGTTGTTGAACTTGTTTATTTTCAGTAGGTGTTTCATTACTGGGCTAGGAAACATCATGAACTTCCACGTGGGTGTGGGCATGACCAGTGCATGACGTTGGTATGATGCAAGTTTGACAGCCCTGCCATAAGGTCATTAAGAATGATGTCATGTGTTCAGCATTTTCAATCTCCTGCCAGCTTCCCCATTGACATTACTTGTCAGAAGTCATAGTAAAGGTCCCCAATGGTGATCTCATGTCCATGGGATACTGCAACAATCACAGTGATGAGGACTGCTCATATGTCTCCTCACTTAGTACCACTGTAGCCTTGAATGGTTGTTGAACAAGTGGGTGTAAATTGAGGACTATCTCTGGTTATGCAGTAACAGATGATGTCATGTTCCATGGGTTATCATTTGTTCTCCTGCCCCATGTGACCATGAATATGAAGAGTTTTGCAAATTCAAATAAAGCAATTTGTAAGATATTAAATTGGAGAAATCTTAATTCAGACATTTTGCTTCCCTCTGACAAGTCACAAAAACATAGATATTCATGAAAACAATAACAAGGTGGCAGTGGTTCATGCCTCCCATACATGTTAGTCTATCCTGGTTACAATCTGTAGGAAAATTGAGATATTTTTTTTCTTATCTCAACTATAGAAATACCTGAGGTTATAATATTTTAATTCTTGCAGAGTTCAGCTGTTTTCCTCATAGGCAAATAACTAGATTTTTTTTATATATAAAGAAAGGTGTGGAAGGGCTGAAAGCCATCTAAAAAGACATTTCTGTACTGAAACTATGGAAGTTGACAGTCAGCTAAAAAAAATGAGGACACATTTGCATTGGAAATATGTAAATAAATTCAGCCTGTAAGCAATCTATAGAAGAGATATATGGATTGTTTTGCAATAAAGCAGTGTAACTTTCAGCATTGTGACAAATTGCCCTTCTTAACTTTTTCTTGCCTTAAAGGAAAAGGCTTCAAAGTTACTAAAAGTATGTGGTTGTATATACAATGTAGATTCTTTCTTAAAATCATTGAGTTGTCAACCACCCTTCATAGTCATGATCCGAAAATAGTTTTCTCTTTTAACTTGATCATTGATTCTTATAAGTCTCACCCTAAAAAATGCATGAGCATTGCGGGTTTTTTTGGGGGAGGGAGCAAGTATTGAAATGATTTATAACACTATTCAAAAAAGCAAAGAACATGAATGGTTAATCTGGGGAAGAGATTTGCCCTGATTCAAATGTGGGTATGGATCCAAGTTCCAATCTTAGGGATTTGCAATACATCTATGAAGCCCATCCCAAAACCCTTTAATTTTGGCCAAATTATATTTTCCTGGATTTACAAAAGCAGTCATGAAATAGTCTATCACAAAAACAAAGGTGCTTTATTTGCCCCCTATCTTTAAACATTTCTGTCCAGTAAGTGACTCATTTACTCAGATAATCAGATAATTGGTGACAGAAGACCTTTTTATTATGATTGTGAATTTTATTTGCCACCCACCTTGCATTAAAAACATAATTTATTTGGAAGAAGAAAGCAGCTAATTGGTCTTAGCCTTTCCCACTTTCTTCACAACAGTTGACATTCTCATCTCATTTTGGTTCATATTTGCCCACTGGCCTCTGTTACCACGAGAATGATTCCAAGACACGTGTGTGTGTGTGTGTGTGTGTGTGTGTACACACACACACACACACACACACACACACACACACACACACACAGTAAATTTTCTATGCTTGTACTCATTCAATCTAGAACTGTGATGGCGAACCTATGGCATGCATGCCACATGTGGAGCCATGGAGCCATTTCTGAGGGTACACTAGGCATTGCCCTATCAGTTCCAGCACGCGTGCACACGCTAGCCAGCTGATTTTTGGTTGTTTTTCACCCTTTGCTGAAGACTTCCGGTTTGTACATTGGACTGTTTTTCACCCTCCCCGGGCTCCTAGAAATCCTCTGGAGTCTGGGGNTATATAAATCATTGTCCTTCACATATTAAGATATCAGCATCTGAAGTAGGTATTGATCCTACATGATCTTATGCTGTTTGGTTCTCATAACACCTCTTCCCACCTAGGTCTCTTGTAGATTTGTGAATTTTCAAATCAGAATTCTCACCAAAAAGCCATGGTGGCTGGAGAAGTCTGGAAATTTAAATCCTTTCAACTTTAACTCAGGTTAAGGAAGCCTGTCTTTTAACATATTGGAGACTGCCAATAAATTGGGTTAATTAGTGCCAGGAATCTCTTTGAAACCTTTATAGTCAAACCATTGTTGAGCTGAATCAAAAGGCAAAGTTTCCCTCAAACTGAACTTAGGTTTTGATGCATATAGACAATTAGTGTTCTTGGTAATAGTAGCATGGACATTATTTGCTATTGCTTTATTTCAGATTGATGATGATGATGATGATGATGATGATGATGATGATGATGATGATGATGATGATGATTTTACTTCCCAGTGCATAGTGTTAGAACTTTATGGTGGTTTCCCAGCTATGCACTAACCAGTCTGATCCTACTTAGCTTTGAGGGATCAACCAAGTTCAACAGATGTTGCCAATAAATATACTCAAATGCCGTTGATGATCTAGTGTGACTGTCATCATCCCATTTTCTTACCGTTATAGGTCTATAGTCTAATAGATCCAGCTGAGATCAAAGCAGATGTCCTAGTAGGAGGGATTCAGGCAGTTGGTTCTACTTTTATGATACTAGACATTTAGATATAGCAGAATGATGTGGTGAGACCATGAAAACAAGCACCACTGCTGAATATATCTCAAGGACCACAGAATGCAAAAAACACGGAAACATAAGGAGAATTATCATCTATAATAGACAAATTTAAGAGTGTATCCCCATATTAGAAACAACTAGTTTAGATACAGCTGAATGACCCAAACTGGCTGTTTAGCTAAGTTCTTTGTTTATTTAAATGTGGCATTATCAACCTGCAATAAGATGTTATAAATATGAAAGGAAGACTAACCCAGTGAAGCCATTTTGAACCAAAATTGGTTCAAGAAAGCATTAAGGTCTACAGTTGGCTGAAGTTAAGAAAATATTCCCTTTGGCATTTCAACTTGTAAGATACTGAGAATTACTAACTGAGGAAGGCTTTGTTTCATGCTCATTTGTCACACCAGACTTTAATTGCACATTCTCTTTGTGTATTGGTGTTTGTTCTGTTCTGTTCTCCTAACCTGCATTTGGAGACGTTGCATGACATGTGCAAGAACATGTCATTTAAAAAATGCTGGCATTATAACAACTTGGGCTTTTCTATTTTACAGGTATTGTCCTTGATTCAGGGGATGGAGTCACACACAATGTCCCTATCTATGAAGGTTATGCTCTTCCCCATGCTATTATGCGTCTGGATCTGGCTGGCAGGGATCTGACTGACTACCTCATGAAGATTCTGACAGAACGTGGCTATTCCTTTGTAACAACAGGTAATTACAGTTGAAATGTGCTTTGATCCCTGTTTATGCCTCATAAGTGAATTCAGAAAGCTACTGTTGATATACTATAGTTGAGTAAGCTCAACTATAAGCTTACTCAACTATAACATATGCTCAGCAATGGAATTTTCAGTGTCGTATCAAACTAAAAAGTTGTGTGGGATCTAGATACATTATTTCTTCTACATAATCTCTATGAGCCGTGGTGGCACAGTGGTTAGAGTGCAGTACTGCAGGCTACTTCTGCTGACTGACTGCAATTTGGCAGTTCAAATCTCACCAGGCTCAAGGTTGACTCAACCTTACATCCTCCTGAGGTGGATAAAATGAGGAGCCAAATTGTTGGGGGTAATATCCTGACTCTGTAAACTGCTTAGAGAGTGCTGTAAAGCACTGTAAAGCAGTATATAAATCTAAATGCTATTGCTATATCTCCATATTTTCCCCCCATCATCAGATATGGTGAAACTCTTGTGTTTGATCCTATTTCTAAGCATCCTGGAAAAATTATTTGAGGATATATGGAAATAATAATGACCAAACTGAACTACGGGGACAGGATTTTTAACTTCAATTTTGCTTGCATTCTTTTTAGCCTCTATCTTTTTCTTCTTTTTATACATTTTTGGTTTTGTCTTTACAGCTGAACGTGAGATTGTCCGTGACATTAAGGAGAAATTATGCTATGTTGCTCTGGACTTTGAGAATGAAATGGCTACAGCAGCCTCCTCCTCTTCTCTAGAGAAAAGTTATGAGTTGCCTGATGGGCAGGTCATCACAATTGGGAATGAGCGTTTCCGCTGTCCAGAAACCCTTTTCCAGCCATCTTTTATTGGTAAGGAATTCTTTTACGTGGAAGCTTTAGCTTGAAGTTACTGGCTGGCTTAACTGGCTGCTGGCTGAATTGCTTCTCTGTGCAGTAAACTCTAAAGGAAATATAAAATTAAAAGGATGCAAAATGCAAAAAGATAAAACATTTTGCAAATAATCAAAATTAGTAGTAATATCTCTCAAAATGCATATTCTCTTCTGGGCTGATGACAATGCTAAACTATTAGTGGGAGCCACACTGCAACAAATAAAAGAAAAGGGCAGAAATTAAATTAAATTTAAACAAATACAGCTCAAAGAAATACTTGCATATAAACCACTTTCTCCTCCAGCAACATTAAGAAATATTTTGAAATAACTTTTGGAGGGACTATATATGGGTGTTAAAAGGGACACAGTGGCTCAGTGACTAAGATGCTGAGCTTGTCGATCAGAAAGGTNAGGCATTGCCCTATCAGTTCCAGCACGCGTGCACACGCTAGCCAGCTGATTTTTGGTTGTTTTTCACCCTTTGCTGAAGACTTCCGGTTTGTACATTGGACTGTTTTTCACCCTCCCCGGGCTCCTAGAAATCCTCTGGAGTCTGGGGAGGGCGAAAAACAGACCTACTGGGCCCACTGGAAATCAGAAAATGGGCCGTTTCTGGCGTCTGGAGGGGCTCCAGGGGGGCGGGTTGGCCATTTTTGCCTTCCCTCCTCAGGCTACAAGAAAACTGTCTGTGCATGCATTGGGCAGTGGGGGGGGGAGGGTTGTCACATGCTCATGTGCAGGGGGCACGGCACAGGGGGCATTAAATTATGGGGGTGGGCATGTGCACACACACAATAGCATGTGTGTGTGCACGCTTTTGGCACCCAAGGCGAAAAAGATTCCCCATCACTGACTTAGAAGATAATGATGTAGAAATATGTAAAGGACTTAAATTCTGGTGCAGAGTGGCAAGAGCTTGCCAGGAGGATACAGACACTTATTTGGGTGTCATAGATCAGGTTTCATAGGTCTGCAGTTGGTAGATGTCAGAAACAGAAGAAATACGATACTGGCAATGTTAACTTAAAGAGAGATTAGAGGAGGCATTAAGAAGCTGCTGGGACACAGATAGGAGTCAGTTCAAAAATTGTGGTCGGAACCTCTAGAAATGAAGTGGTCTGTCCCAAAGCATAGGAAGGCAAGAAATGACACTCAGAAGAACAAGGAAAGATCTAAAAAGCTACTGGCTGGGGGTGCAAAGCCAGATGCATCCAAATACAAGCACAGGGCAGAAGAACAGAAATTGTTCAATTTGGAAACTTGGCTATGAGAAGAGGCCTGAGGAGATAAATGGGAATATGAGACACAACTCTTAAGTCAGTATTGTTGGGCTCAGCAACTTTAGGGTGAATGGACTTCAACTCCCATAATTCAAGGTTTTTGCTGGTGGGGTGGCCAATGCAGATAGACAGAGGTGGGCAGTTGCATGATCAGGTGGGGAAGGATTGTTGAAACATGAAAGAGCAAATGGGATGTGAACTGGATTCCAACTGGTTAGTGGGGGGGGGGGAGGGGGGAATCCAGAATGCAAGAGGTCATGAAATAAAAAATGAAGAGAACTGATACAAGGAGGCTTCTGTAGAAGCAGTTATTGCTATGAGCAGTTTTGTAATGAAGGGGAAAAAATCTGTAGTGCCTTAAAATTGTATGCCCCTTAAGTTTATTGAGTTTTGCTCTGAACAAGCCTCTCCACCTGATACCAGAAGATTCACCCTATGAATTCAACATCCTCTTGCTATGTATTGCTTTTCTTTTACTTATATCTGTCTGCATATCTGTATGCTGACTGATTTCCTAATACATGTATTTATTTAAGGAATTTTACAGTTTCATGAAACTTTTTTATGAAAGAAGGACCTTCTTCAATATAATGGATTGGCTGATTTAAAAAACCCAAATTAGTAAAGTGATCATGTTCAGCATACTAAAATATAATCTCTTCATTTGAATGAGTGTTCATATTAATCCAGGGCAGCCCCCATCATGCAGAAACTTTCCCTGAAGATCCAATTTTTACCATTGCTAAGGAAAACTGCCAAAATGAAATTATTTCATGGGTACTTTTAATGTTTGTCACACCTTCATTAGATGTTGTTAATGCCAATATGGTTTTATGCACCTTATTTGTGTATGTTTTTATTGCATTATCTTTGTCTTTCAATTGTAATTTTATGTTGTAGAGTTTTATGCAATTATAGCAATAGCAATAGCCCTTAGACTTATATACCGCTTCATAGGGCTTTCAGCCCTCTCTAAGCGGTTTACAGAGTCAGCATATCGCCCCCACAGTCTGGGTCCTCATTTTACCCACCTCGGAAGGATGGAAGGCTGAGTCAACCTTGAGCCGGTGAGATTAGAACCGCTGAACTGCAGATAACAGTCAGTTGAAGTGGCCTGCAGTACTGCACCCTAACCACTGCGCCACCTCGGCTCTTAAGAGATTATTGTAATTATGTCTATTGTATTGTAAACTACCATGAACCAGTGTTGCATAGGTAAAAGTAAAGGTTCCCCTCGCACATATGTGCTAGTCGTTCCCACCTCTAGGGGACAGTGCACATCTCTGTTTCAAAGCTGAAGAGCCAGCGCTATCTGAAGACATCTCCATGGTCATGTGACTGGCATGACTAAATGCTGAAGGCCACGGAACGCTGTTACCTTCCCACCAAAGGTGGCCCCCATTTTTTCTACTTGCATTTTTACATGCTTTTGAACTGCTAGATTGGCAGAAGCTGGGACAAATAACTGGAGCTCACTCCATTATGCGGTGCTTGGATTTGAACTGCCAAACTGCTGACCTTACTGATCGACAAGTTCAGCGTCTTAACCACTGAGCTACCCCCTGTGATACATAAAGAAAGTAAATAAATATATACATTTTTATTTAAAAAATTGAATCAGGATTTGCACAAATTGAGTATGCATCTTGTTAATTCCAGCAAATGCTATTAGACAGACTGGAATCGTGGAAGATGTGAAATACTGGTATGTTCTAATTCTTGATTCAAATATAACACAATTCCCTATTGGTCTTTTAGAAAAACATTCCATCCTAATGCTTTATTTGTGTGTGGGTTAATATTATATTTCTTCTGCTCCTTTATAATTGAATTGAAAATTCCATTCCCAGGGGCCATGGACAACAGATTTAGAAATAAAAATATAAACGTTTCAAATTCTTAATTTTTTTCCCCACCCATTTCTTTTTCCCCATGATTCACTTCAAATCAATCACAGTACAGCTCTGGTTAATTTCAGTGGGTTGCTTCACAAGTTATCATTGATTATAATCTGAAAACTTTTTGGAAAGTAGTAAAAACAGATAGGAGAAGTCATCAGGAATGCCCAAGACATATGTAGCCAAATATATAAACAGCCCTCAATTGAAGCCAACATTGCCTGCAATGTGAACAAGTTCCATTATTTGAATAAAGAAAAAGTGATGACATTGTATTTGATTCAAAAAGCATTTTTATTTATTTTATTTATATGCCACCTCTCTCACCAAAAAGGCAACCCTATGCAGCTTTTTAATATTTACTGTGTACAATGTACCCCTACTTTAATTCATTTCCATACTTTTTACTGTGTCAGAAAAAAAATGTTGATTTAAAAAAAATATATGAGCCGTTTTACCTCTTTTAGGCCTTTGAGCTTCTACGCCTTTAACATGAGTTCTTCCTGTTTGTATATTCATTCCATTTTAGCTCCTTGTTTGCCCTTCAAATGTAATCTTTGAGAAAGCACTACTATACCCACAGGGTAACAAGAATGATGTATCAAATTGGGCTGCAGATTCTCCAGTGCCAATTTGGTATTAATTTACTTCAGACCGAATAATCTTATTTTCATCTTGCTGCTTTATTTTCTTTTAAAGAGGTGAGAGTGGGCAATGAACAGTTTCTGCTCCAACAACAAACTTTTGGCAAACATCAAAGATATAATTAGTGGTTCTGATAAAGATTGATGGCCAACTAAATGTCTCCAAAGGAGCAGAGAGGGCATTGTGATGAGATCAGCAGCAGGAAGGTGCTATATGGCTGGCCAAGACTCTCCAATAAAGGGGAGATAGTGAGATCACCCACTTGCACTCCAGACAACTGCTCCTCATGAGTAAACTACAGGAACTCATGAGGTTTTGAAGAACTGAGAGTTGAAGGGTTCTACCAAGCTCACAGCCATAATGTACCCTTACAAATACCAAGTTCTACCCACTCTCATTTCTCAATCAGTTCTGTAAATTGCCTTTTAACTGCTTTTCAATTATTAAGACTCTTTTGATCAATAAATTTTATTTAACTCACCAGGTGAATTACCTTTAATCCTTCGGGGAAATAAATTTTAAACATACATTTAAGGACATTAAATACTTTTACTTTTAATAAAGAGCAAAAAGGTGATTAGAAGTTGATTTTGGAAAGTTACAAATGGACTAAATTTCTAGATGGATTTTAAATAGGATTTTGGAATTGATCACCAGAATTCTTCCTATGGGAAAATGCAGTTGCTTTGAATTTTTAAAAGAAAATATGATAGAATGGAAATTTGAATATTGGATACTAAAGGGAACCAAGATTAAAGATTACTATTAAAGGAGAAGAATACTTAATGTTGAATTTACTAACCCAGAATGGATCAAAATATTTTAACATCAGACGTAATGGAATATATTTGTGAGCAGTGGATCTGGAAATTAATCTTAAAGTGTCTGCCATTATAGATATACTGCATTTAATAGGTTTTGGAAGAGGAACATAGTTTACCAGACAAGGCTGAGACTGATCTAAAAGTTTATTGAAATGTGACAAGAACAATAGAGAAAAAGATAACCAAATGAAACTGATTGATATCTTAATAATTAAAATAGCAAAACAAAAAAGGGACTTGGATAACTTTTATACTGGATTTATAAAGGAGACCTGTTCATTTTGAAAGATTTTGTGACAATAGACAAAGAAAGAAATGAAATTAAAGCAAGTTGTGGGACACTATTTAAAGGGATTAACGATTAAATTTATTAAAAGGCAGAAATATAAAGTGGGTGTTATTTGATCAAGTTTAAAATAGATATGTTGTTATTTATGGTAACTCTTATTGGACTTTTACAGACCAAGTCTGAATAACAAGGTTTTAAGGATCTAGTTATAGATAAGAAATGAGATCTGGGATAAAAAGATCATTTGTTGTGTTTTAAGAGAAGGTATAAATTGTCAAAAATGTTTATATTTCTTTTGAGGAAGGGATAAGTTACCTTTTTATATATTTTCTTTTTTTTCTATGCTATATTTTTATTTTTTATTTTCTATTTTTTAAATATTATTTCCTCCTTATACAATTTCTCTCCCCCTTATACTTTTTTTTAAAATTAGTTTTGGGAG